CTTAAATCAATTATGTTACCACTCAAAAAATTCAAAAAAATATTGAACCCACTTTGGAACTCTGTTTGGTCTTGTAGAATTATGGAAAAACTACACATAAGTAGAGTTAGGAGTCTTAAATAACGAAATAGTCTATTTTAAAATTTTATTTTTCAATTTGATTGAATCAAATAAAATAATTACAAATGCATCAAGAATTATTATTAAGCCCTTATTGTAAAATACTAAAATAACCTTCTTTTTTTTTTGGAAGGTAAAATAATCATATATTTCCAAAATACTAAAAAATAAATAAATAAAAACAAACAAACAAACAAAAACTATAACCTTGTTCAATACTCATTGCTGATATTAAGGTGCTAAATTTAGCAAGTGTTAATTACCACCAAAAGTTTGATATATACCAAAGCTGAAATAAAATGTGTTAATTACTTTAAATATAAGTTAAAGAGATGGGAGTCTAAGATAAGGCATTATCAAGAATGTCACATTTACATAATATGGGAAATACTTGTAAGATAAAAGAAAATTATTTAAGAATGAATTTATACTTAGGAAAAAATCTGTAATAGTCGTAGCAAATTTGAATGAATTCTTCGATCTATTTAGTCAAATGATATCCATCTACAAAAGTTTGCATCTTTTTTATTAGACAAGAACCATTCTGTTCTAAGTTAGAATATACGTTTTTATATATATATATATATATAATAGTCACATTCTTGAGTAAAAATCTTAGCATGGTAAAGGATTTGCATCACATTCTTGAACAGTTTGAATTAAATAATAGTCAAAGTAGTTTAAAATTATCTATTTTAATATTATAAAATTATATAATTTTATAAAGGATATTTTGGTAGTTTAGAATTAGAGCTTAGAGTGTATTTTGGACCTTAACAATAGTTTTTAATGCATTTGTAATTATTTTTCTTAATTCAATCAAAATGAAAAATCAACTTTTAAAATTGATCAATTTGTTATTTAGAACCCCCAACTATATCTATGTGTAGTTTTCCATATAATTATTTGGTCTTGTAGAATTATGCTAACGGTATCTGGGCAATCAAAGAAGAATTTCAACTTAAATATTAATATATATAGCTCCTTCCACTTTTAAAAATGAACTAATAAAAACAAGAATGGAACCCACTTCAAACAAATGTTTAATTTGATGACAGAGCAAAACATGTGTAAAGGATACATTGTAATGGCACACTCCACTACATGGTATGATATTTTTCGCTTTGAATTTTGCTTCAAAAGACCATTGTGGTAGCATGTCAATGCCTCTTGTACCAGCCCACAAAGTGGCCACAATCACCCCCTAGGGGCCCAACGCTCTCGTTGGCCACACTTTCAACTAGATCAGTTTCTGATACAATTTGTAATGATTCTCTCCACCACATTATATGATATTGTCCACTTTGAGCCAGAGTTCGTACGATTTTGCTCTTAGATTTTACTTTAAAAGACCTCATACCAATTGAAGTGACATACCTACATATATAGCATTTCCCCTCTTCACACCCAAGTGATGTGGGATTGTGCACTTGTACCTCACCCAATGTGGTACCCTGTCAGTGCCTCTTACACCCGCCTACAAGGTCGCCACATGAAATTATGAGGCTCGGTGGGCGAAAGCAGGCCTGTGAAAGGTAAGGCTCTAGTGCAAGTTACGTGTGCTCATAATTCTCACATCGCCTAGGAAAAGTGAAGTGTTATATATAAGTTCAATACCCTTCTATGACACAACGTGTTCTAGTGGCCTAGTGGTAGGTTAGCTAGGAACAAAGCCTTGAGGGTAGGCACCAAGGTCGGGGTTTTGACTTTTGGCAGGCCTGTTGAAAGAAGACAATATTGTTTGGGGTAGGTGGGCCAGTGTGGGCTGGAAAGTCTCTAATCCGGTAGAGCGAAAAGCAAAGAGTGAAGTGTTATATTTAGGTTTAACACTTTTCTATGACACAACGCATTTTAAAGTTATGATAGCCATGAACCTATCAGGACTCTGGACAAGGCCACAGTTTCAGTTGATACAATAACAGACAATTTGATTCAGAAGACAATAAAAGAAGAAACATGAAAATGCTTAATCATGGCAGTGGATAATCGCACCCCTATACCATGAGACTATTAACATACACACTCCCTTGGGCAATTTTGAAAGAGTAAAAGGCAAAATGGACAAATTCACCAGCTAAGAATAGTTCATGATTGATGTATGAGAAAGAGTGAAGCCTAAAGATATTCTTTATAGCTCCCCCAGACCAGAGACTTTGAAGCCCACACTGGCCTACCCACCCTAGACAATATTGTTTCTGAGTAGGGGCTCAAAGAGGACAATATTGCCTGGGGTGGGTGGCCAGTGTGGGCTGAAAGGTCTCTGGTCCGGGGGAGCTAAAAGTGAATAATATTATTTCTGAGCAAGGTGAGGGCTCTTCCATACATCCTCTCAATTTTACTTCTTCAATTTTCTTTTTTCTATTTTGCAGTATGACAATCACCTAACTTTATAAGTGTTTTTTTGGTAGTTGAAGAGTTTATTTGATATACTAAAATTTCCAACAAATTATTAGACGAATTATCAATCAAATAATGTCCATTACTGTATACTATATATCAACCATATTGTGCATTTGATTTGTTTCAATTCCAAATTTTCCAAGTTCATACCCTTTCATAATTTGCAAGAATTTTTTGTATTTTACATTACGTACTTCTACAAAGTAATAATTTTCCCTTGTATTAAAGATCGAATCTTTTTCTTCTTCTTCCTTAAGCAAAACTTAATGCAATAGTCAACAGTTATGGCGTTTGAGTTTGCATACAAGCCAAGCCATATTCTAGAATTTGAGATCTTGAGTATTGGTTTTGATATTTTCTTGAATTTTTTTTAACCAAACAAAGTTTGAGAATGGGTTTGATATTTTTTTGAATTTCTTGAGTTAAAGGATTTATTTGAGTCAAGAAGCATAATTTGGTATTTTAAAATAAGATCGTGGACGGCATTTTGGACCTAAAAAATGATTCTCAATATATATGTAATTATTTCACTTAATTCAATCAGAGTAAAAAAAAAAAAAAAAAAAAAAAAAAAAAAAAAAAAAAAAACTTGGGTTAATTTCACTAACATACCCTCATGTTTGGCCAAATATTATCCCCAAATATTATCCTCAAATATTTTTCGAAATTAACTATTACTCAGACCCCAATTTACTTTTCCGTTGCTTTTTCCATTAAAAAGGTGCAAAATGACAATTTATCCCTATTTTTAAAATCTATTTTAATCCAAAATATCAAAAGCCTGAAATAACTAAATTGCCCTCATTTATTACTCTGTCACCCTCAAAACTCTTCATATCACTATTTTCTCCGTAAATATATATATATATTTTGGTGCACATGATGAGAAATATATATATGAGGAATAATTTTAAAAAATAATTATAAATTTATAATTATAATTTAGTTGGTTTTAAAAAATAATTATAAATTTATAATTTATAACTATAATTTGGGTTGGTTTTAAAAATGATATATATATGGATGAAATCATGACAATAATAATAATAATAATAATAATAATAATAATAATAAAAGTAAATAAATAAAAATAAGTCATAAATTAAGTGAATATAACTGAGTATTCTTAGGGACTCAATTATTGTTTACATGTGCTATATCATGTTGTTCAAGCAGTGTTGAAATATAAATTTTTAACAATTAGGTTTCTCAATCTGCTATTAGCTTTGTGTTTGAAGGAATGAGAAGGTTTGCTTGACGCGGTGAGAGAAGAGAGAAAATAAATAAATAAATTGCCTGAAGAATAATCTGTTAAGGGGTAATTTCGTCAAAAAAAATTTCTCAGACAACCACTTAATCGGACATCAGTTAAAAACACTCCCTTGAGATAGTTGGTGGGGATTTTTTTGCCAAATAAATTCATAAAAGAATTATTCACAATTGAGTAATAGTAAAGGGTATTTTTTTTTTTGCAATTCTCCCAAAAATAATTTTAAATTTATATAATGAAGATCAAAGGGTATTCAAGTCATTTCAACTCTTTTTTAAGGTAACATATAATTAAAACTTAGAAAGGTAATAATGTCATTTTATATGTAAAAAGGTATTTGACATATTATAAAAGTAATTTTTGAAGTGTAAGTGAAAAATGAATCAAAAATTTATTATAAGAGTAATAATTGTTTTTAAAAAATATTTCAATGTGATATTCAGTAAAAAAAAAAAAAAAAAAAAAAAGAAAAAAAGAAAGAAAGAAAGTAACGCAATAAATTTTTAAACCAGGCCACTTTATAATTTAGGGAAAATTACATATAAATGGAGTTAAAGTTTCATATTTACTTAGAGACTGAGTCAAAGTTCCATATTTCTCTAAAATGGATTGCTGAGGTGGCACATGGTTTTTTACTGTTTAAAAAATTGTGGTGCCTAAAATGCCCTTCCCTAACAAAAAAGTAGTACCTTCAGTTCAAAAAAGTAGTACCTTCAGTTCAAAAAAGTAGTACCTCTGGAGAAAAAGTAGTACCTTCGCGGGTGTTTAAAAAACATGATACCTGGACACCAAAAAGTAGTATCTTCAGTTCAAAAAAGTGGTACCTTTGAAGAAAAAGTAGTACCTTCACGGAAGGGTATTTTAGGCACCACAATTTCTAAACAGTAAAAAATCATGTGCCACCTCAGCAATCCATTTTAGAGAAATATGAAACTTTGACTCAGCCTCTAAGTAAATATGAAACTTTGCCTCCATTTATATGTAATTTTTCCTATAATTTAAGCCTTGCGATATATAGAATGGAGTGAGAACTCGGAACATGGAAGCGTAGCCATTGAATTATGTGACGTAGATTCCAACAACCAGCGTGTTTAGGATTAGCCGCAAATGTCCTAGCATCTTGCGACACACCGCAAAATTAGCAATAGACAACAAGCGCTAATTGAGGTGCCTTAAATAGCCACAGCTGTAATCCAATCACATCACGTGAATCACCGTCCCCACCTTCTCCCACTCTCTCTTTCTCACCAAAACCAAACGTAGACGCAGAGAGAGAAACACCCAAACCCCTAACCCCTAACCCCTTCCCCCAAAACCAACACCAACCCCTCCACACACACACACACACACACACACACATACACTACACCCTACACTACACTTTGAAATTGTTCACCAATGGCTTCTTCACATCTGCCAACACTCGTCACTCTCTGTCTCATCGTCCTCCTCCTCCTCGCATCCACGTGCATTCCACGTGCCCAAGCTCAGCTCGACTCGGGCGGCATCCAACTCACGACGGACGCTCTGGACTGGCCGTCGTCGGCGACGGATCTCTACGAGGACGACGAGTTCGGAGACAATGCCGGAGACTCTACCGGCGCGATTGGCCGTAGATCGCTGTTCTGGCTAACAGTGCGGCACTACTACATTTCGTACGGTGCTCTGTCGGCCAACAGAGTGCCATGCCCGCCTCGCTCCGGTAGGTCCTACTACACCCACAACTGTTACAGAGCCACAGGCCCAGTTCACCCTTACACCAGAGGCTGCTCTGCAATCACCCGTTGCAGGAGATGAACAATTGGGTTAGGGTTTTCTCTTCTATATATATATTCATATTTTTGTTTTTTGTTGGTTTGGTATTTCTTGCAGATCTGTGCTATTAGAGTACTTAGACTAATTCGGTAATTTCTTCATTATTGCTATTATGTTGTGGGACTATTTATAAATTTGTCTCTTATCTGTGTAAACATTTTGTTTATATAGGCTTGTATAATTGTATTTTTTTGAAATAGTATCCTTTGTTTCTACAATAATAACATTACTCACAAAAATATATATATATATATATATATATATATATATTGAATTGATAAATTAGACTAAATTAAAAAGTTTGGTATTGTCCCATTCTATAATGGAATGGTTCGGTTCCAATTTTAAAAATTAAAGTAACTTGATTATGGTTTGAGATTCAAAACCATCCAACCAAACTTTAGTAATTAATGCACTTGTTCAATTTTGATGCTTAGAGAATATAACTTCCCATACACTACAATACATATCATCTACATAGGATCATCATATATATAGATATATATATATTAAAATTTGATTTTTGATTTATTATATATATATATATATATATATATATATATATATGAAAGTCCAAAATTAAAATTGTAGAATTGAACTGAACCAAACCGATCACATATTTTTGGAATCGTTAAGATCGGTTTGGTTCTTTCATCTAGAATTGGATTAAACCGAACCTTGTGCACCAAAATAGACTGTGATTTCTCTCATGTGTGTGAATGTCGTTAATTGAACAGTTCGATCTTACTATATATATATATATATACACACACACGGTTTGGGATTCAAAACTATTCAACCAAACCGAACTGAGCTGTTAGTAATCAATACACCTGTTCAAATTTGATTATTAGAGAATATAACTTGCCATACACTATAATACATAGGATCATTCGTATATATATATTTATATATATTAAAATTTGATTTTTCATTTTATTCATATATATGTATATGCGCGCGCGCACATATATATATATATAGGAAAATTCAAAATCGTTGAATCGAACTAAACCAAACAGATCATTATGGTTTAATTCCGTTCCATTCTAACGGTTCGATTCTTATGTTTTTAGAACCGCTAAGATTAATTTGGTTCTATTCATTCAGAATCAAATCGGACCGAAATGAACCTTATGCACCCCTACCTGAAACCTGCTTTCTCTCACGTGTGTACATGGTTAATTGACCGGTATAGATTTTTAGCCCCTTGAATTGTTCTAATATGTCAGTTGTTATATATCAAGATAATGCTAAAATGCTCTTTGGACTTGGCTCTCAAACTTTCTTTTTCTTACCCTTTTATCTGTCAATTTTATTTATTTATTTATTTTTGAAAGTTTGAACTTGTTAGATGGGGCTTCATCAGTCTATGTTCCTTTAGAATGGTTTGTAACTTTGTATCCTGTTCAAATTAGCCCAATGATTGTGACTTGTCTCCAAAATTAATTTTGTATCATAATTTTCATATCAAAATAAAATTTCAAATCATTGTCCCCACTTATAAGTGTAATATTATTATAAAATAATTATTTGGTAAGAACATATGTTATGTTGTAAAAGTTTCGAATTCTCCAGGAACAACATCACACTAAAATTAGCCATTTCAGGTACGTGGAGTTGATTATTATTAGTGATTATTATATAATGTTTGGTGGTTATTTAATTTCAACGTGGACAAACCACGTCTTTTCCTCTACTGCAACTGTACCTTTTAGATTAGAGTAAGTCGCTCAATCTATGAAGTGTATATATATATATATATATCTGAATATTTCATAAAAGGAACGAGAAAGAGCATTCAATATAGAAAACGATGATGTGGATCTTGTAGAGCTGCATAAGCTTCTTTGGTATTATGTAGAAAACCTTAGAACTGTATAGTAGTAGCCTTGTAAATGTCTTAGATATTTATTAATTCGGATCATTTTAGAACTCCATTCTAAAATTCTTCCCAGGTATGCTACAATATACTTGTGTAGACACTTAAGCCTATATACACAGAGAGAGAGGTGGTAGGCTCATATACAATATTTATAGAAAAACATAAAAATATCTTAAGCTTAGCCTAACACATCCAAAACACCTGCAACCCTTACACCTGCTGCTATCATTTTCTGCAACATACACATCATTTTCTGCAACATACACATGTAACTCTGAACTGTTGCTCTCATTTTCTGCAACATACATATGTAATTCTCATTTTCTGCAAAACTTTCATTTTTAAATAGAGAATACGTCAGATATTAATAGAGTGGTTTGTATTTCACTAACCCATTTTGAGTATTAGTATTTACAACACAAATAAAAAAACTGTGATCCAACTCTCTAACACAAACCAATCAGGTCCCTTATTGACCATCAAACACTTTAGTCTCTCCGTTGGTGAAGTAAAAAGTAATCGAGGGCTGAATATGTTCGGCCTTACGTACTGTTCTCCAACCCTTTGACACAGACCAATCAGGTGCCTGATTCGTCTTCAGCCACCGCAGTCTCTTTGCCGGTGAAATTAAAGATAACTTTAATTCATGTGGAGACAATTGTTCGGAATGGTCAGACTCCGACGACAAATCAAGAGTTTCTGAAGAGTTTAGACACGCCCAATCACGAAAATCGAATGGATTTGTGGGAGAGGGACGATTACTTTCATCATCCTTATCGGTGATGAAAGGATGATTTAGAAGCATCTCAGCCGTCCATCGATTTCTGGGGTCTTTCACGAAACACTTTCTGAGAAAATCTCTTCCTTCTGATGATAAATTTGTAGGAATCTTAGGCACCTCGTCACCGATCCCAATCCTCAACCATAGTTCCCACATGCCACCATCCAGTTGATGAATCCACGCTGTCTTTCCAGTCGCCATCTCCGCCACCACACACCCAAGTGCCCATATATCTGCAGGTGGCTCCTGCTCACCGCCCATCACCATCTCTGGTGACATATAAAGAGGCGTACCTCTCACTTCAAAATTCTCACTCTTCATTCCAGCTTTCTTCGCCATACCAAAGTCTGCAATTTTTAGCACATCTTCTCCATCACGTTGATTAGAACAAAACAATAGACAATTCTGTAACTTTATGTCACAGTGAACATAACCATGATTGTGAATATAGTGTAGGGCTTTGACTATAGATTTCGTAAACCGCCTTACATCATATTCTGGCAACCCGTTGTTACCGGAATTTCGCAGCTTACCAGCTAAATCTCCTGCAGAAGCATACTCTAAGAGTAGGTTATACAATTTTTCACCCTTTTCAAAGCTCAAATTCTTACCAAAACACCTAATAATATCTGGGCATTGGTTGAGCTCTTCGAGTATTGACTTCTCATTCAGGAGAAAAGCAGAGTGCAAAACCCCACAAGATTTCACAGCCATTAATGGTGGAGTTTGAGAACTCTGACTTCTAGGTATGGCTAAATTGACAGTGGCAAAGTTTCCCTTACCAACTATTTCACCACGGACCCAATCCATGGACATACTAGAGCCTGCTTGAATTTTTGGGTGAGGTTCTCTGTTTTTGTTTTTTATTTGAAGACGGAGAGTTACAATGAGTCTTTCTTGGCAGACATATCTTGTATAAAGGGAGGTTTTAGTTTATTTTTTGATTCGGTGGTTATATATAGTTATATATATTGATTTTATAACTGAAGGACGTGAGACTGAAGGATATCCACTAACAAGTGAGCTGAAAATAATACGGTGGGGATTATAAAGATTTTAGAGTCGCACGGGAATTGGATTATGATAGTTTAGGGTTGAGTTGTTAATTACTTAATTAGGATTAAAATGACATTTATTAGGTTATGGATACGATGAATCAACAATTAATTTAAAATGTTAGGTTGGAATAAGCATTGAGTATCTCGAATTGTGAAGCATTCGATATATTACCGTTGTTATTATAGTCAGATCAGTCTTTCATTTGGTGTCCAGGTACTACTCACTTGAAAGATGATATCAGTTAAATGCGATTTAAACATAGAATAGGTCCTATCACAAGCCACCAAATTTCTAGATTCATAATTTGAAAGATGAGTTTTGTGGACTATGTAATTCAACTTGGACCACTTGGTGCACTTGCTGCATCATTTGATATATGGTTATACCATATCTGAAAATAGACTTGGTTAACTTTTGGCAACAAATATAGATGTGTTTAACCAAAAAAAAAAAAAAAAATACAAACAAACAAACAAGCAAACAAATATAGATGTCTCCATCAAATAAGTGGAAAATTGATTGGGTAAAAGATTCAAGTGAGATCCATCAAAGAAACTTACTTTAAGTTTGTGAGAAATGGCGGCTTGAATGGTTAGATGTGATTTTCCACCTTTTTTTTAGTCTTGATTAATAATTAATATATAAATAATTATTTTTTTATTAGTTATAAGATATATATATATTTATGAATATTTTTAAATTTTAATGAACATTTTTATTATTATAATTGTTAAATATTTGACTATGCTACAAAAAAAATATATACAAAATTTATTTTAATTTTATTCAAGTTTAAATTATTCAAATTGGGTTTCAAAAAATATTATCTTTCTTGAAACGAGTTTAGGAAAAAAAGTATCCTGTCCCGAATCCGTCTGTCCCACTAAGCCTGATGTGATGGGTAATATTTTCAAATTAAGTAATGATAAAAAGATCGAATTTTTAAGCGACTTCAATTAACATTGATACTCTTTGTCAATTTTGAGTAAGAGATTTGAGTGAGTTTAAGATTTAAACTAGATTCTAATTTTTTTATTTCCCAATGCCCACCATGTAGTCATGTACCAACATGTCCAAGTTGCTCCCTCCTTTGTCTTACTACTATTTATTATTTATTTGTAAATTGACTCGTGGGTACGTTGAACTCAGTGTATATTTAATACACTTTTTTTTATTTTTATGAATCACATAGCGAATATTTAATACACTTAGATATTTAATACACTTGGATATTTAATACACTTAGATATTTAATACACTTGGATATTTAATATTTTTTTATTGGTAGTGCTTTAATTTTACTTTTGGTATTTTCAGATGGCCAAGAGCCAGGTTATATTATTGAAGCTTGTATTCATTGAATATGAATCGGGTCATATAAATTTGACCACATGTGGACTAGTTCATGTCGTCTGTATCCTATGCATGGATAGGACCAGCTCTCTCAACAATTAAACACAATTTAATTATATTATATTATAGGGTTCTCAACTGTTAAATCATGTTCTAACACATTAAAACATAATTTATGTATTAAAATACGATTTAATTGTGTTAAAATTTCTTCATAATGTAACACTTGATGAGTCATTCTTAAACTGACAATTGTCTTTTAATTATTAGGATAATTAAAATCTATTTATAAAACTAAAATTTTTATTTTTTACACCATTACTTTATGTTTGAGAAGTAATATTGATGGAAACTATATAGCATCTTAAAATCGGTTTGGTATGTGTTTAATTTTTTGCGTTTGTTTTAGCCTGAAAGAAAACTAAGTGTTTTATTATATAGTGTTTTGAATAGTTATCCAAAGTATGTTTGTTAACGTTTATTTATTGCGAGATTTTTAGAAACAAAAATATGAAAATATGTTCGATAAAAAGATGTTATAAGCTAAGTCACACAATTCGTCTAAAGAGGCCCCGCTCTTAAACTCCGTACGCGAATTTGCGATTTGGGAGCGAATTTACACAAAATTCGCGAATTCAATTTTTGCAATTCGCGAATCATACGAATTTATTTTATATAGCTAAATTTGTTAAAATCCCAGTGATATGGAACTCCTATATAACCATATATTCATTTATTACTTACACTATTACTCAATATATATACATTAATTACTTTAGTGTGCCCCAATTGTATGGTGTTGATATACTACCATATATATATATTTTAATTATACATGTTTGAAAATATACTACTAAAAAACTTCCCAATTAGAGAATATTACAAATAAATCTAAAAGTTTGGTTATTTATTACATATATCATTAATGAAATAAATAATCATGAATATATTTGCATATGGATTAAATAAATAAAAATATATAAAATATATATGTTATGATATGATATAATTTTATTTAAACCTAATATACAGACGCTCTCAAGACGCTCCCGCTTTTAAATTTTTTAGATTTTAATGCTTTCGCGCTCTCGTTTTCGCTCTCGCTCCCACACCCGCACTCGCTCCCGCTCTGTGTGACTTAGGTTATAAGTTTGAAGTATATAATAGTTAGTTTAAAAAGGTCATTTAAGAATTTTTTAAAAAATAAAAATTAAAATTAAAAAAATTTATTGTTCATTGCTACATTACCAAACACTACATTGGACATATATATAAAAATACTAAATTGATCTTTCGAATTTTTTACCACTATTCATTAAACGTTTCAACACTGTACAAAACAAAACTATTTTTACCAAACGAGCTTTTTTTTTTTCACCATTCACTATTATAATACTCAACAAAAACAAAAATACTAAAAACAAAACGTGTACTAAACAAACTCGTGTTCGGAAGGAAGGGGTATGGAGAGAAAATAAGAAAAAACGAACTAATTTCTTTTCTTCCGTAGAGATGATATAAGGAAAGAAAGAAAAAATACGAAAAGATAAATTCATCCTTTACCAATTTTATTATAGAAATTTTAAATTAAATACTATCTTAAATTTTAAATTAGTATCTTCTATAAATTAAAATATAATAAATATTATTAAAAATAATAATAAAAATAATTAAAACTTTCTCTTTTCCTTCTCTCATAATGAATATAGTAAATTATTAGTTTATTTATTTATTATTTTATCTAACCCAACAAAAAATAAAAATATATAATTTCTTTCCTAAAAATATCTCACCTATCCATTCTTCTTTCTATTTCAATTTTTTCTTTCCCAGCATTAGTACTGTATATCAATTTGTGCTGCAAAATATTGAATATCAAGGTGGGTTCGATCATCAGATTCAACGAACTGTACCGTCGGTATCATAGTCGATGACCCTAATTAAAGGTTGTATAACTGATTCAGAATCTATCTCCCTTAGTAAACCTCACAAATTGCGATGGGACCCACATAGGATTTCAACGTCATTTTCCATGTTCACCCTCCTTTTACCAAAAATGGGTTACGGGACCCACATACTAATTGCCTATATCGATTGATGTTAAAGATGCGAACACTAGTGTCATCGTTACTACTATGCAGGTTGTTGTTTTAATGTTCATCATATAAATATCTATGATGAAGGTTTCATTCTTTAAAATTTATCCTATTATTTACTAGGTCAGGTTCAGCCCCTTGTTTCAGTCCCTGATTTCTTTATACAAACTTTATTACTAATATATATATATATATACACTATATTCTTACAAACAGAGATAGATAAAGATGATGAACATAGATAACATGCAAAGTATGCATAGTATCGACGAGTCCAAGCGGAAATTCAAAAGAGAGCAATCACATGTTTGCATGTTCGTGACGAAGGAAGATAAGATGGCATAAATTTTTAAGACTTGGACGTCATGTCTGTAGGGCAATGGGACCCAACTTAACTAGGGCCTCTTGACTTTAATTATTTAATTATTATTATTTTTTTTTTTTTGGGAAGTTGAAATCAAACAGGCACCCTATTATTTTAATCTATGCCGATTTGTACAATTTTATAAATATATTTTCTAACGCTATAATAGATTATATTTATCTATTATTAAAATATTTTTCATTGTAACTTTTTTTTCCTTCTTCTTCCTCTTTCTATTTTGTACTCTATTTTTCAATAATTAAAATTCAAATATCTAATTTTTTTACTCTATTTTTATATTTTGTTTTTCTTGTTCGTCTTTTTCTTCTTCTTTTCTTTCTTTATTTTTTTTTTTTTTACCTAATCATTGGTTACTAATATATATATATATATATATATATATATATATATATATATATATATATATTTGAGATTAAATTCTTTTAATAAAAATTATATCTTTAACCAATCAAGTTAAAGAACACTATTATCCGTGTTGGCGTTGGCGGGTTATATCCATGTCGTGTTAGTGAATTTATTCTGTTGTATGGGTCGACACGAATACAACACGATTATTATTCAAATCAAAAAACCAAACATGAACATGATACGATTATTATACGCGTAACACGACACAATATAACATATTTAAGTTATATCTGATACGTTTATTCAACACATTTAGTTAAATATGTCATTTTTAACACCAACACTACACGTTTATTTATTTATTAAAAAAAAAAAAACATAAAATGTTTAGTGAATCGGGTTATAAATGGGTTGACAAGTTAAATACGAACACAACACATTTAATTACCGTATCAATTCGAACTGACACGATTACGATATGAATACGATTAAATTAATTCAAATTCATTTATCCCGTATCGTGTTTAAATCGTATTAGTGTGTCAAATATTATCATCTTCGAACAAATA